CAGTGAATTTGAGGCCAGCCTGGTCTACAAAGTGAGTTCTAGGACTGTTACGTAAAGAAATCCTGTCTTGAAAAAACCAGATGAAGAAAAAAAGAGAAGAATAATCTTTCAAAGCTAGGTGTGGTGGAGCACGCCTTTAATTATTCTAGCACCTGGGAGACAGAGGCAGGTAATCTGAGTTTGAGACCAGCCTGGGAGGGAGAGAGACCAACTACAGAGGGAGTTACAGGACAGCCGAGACTACGCAGAGAAAACCTGTCTTGAAACAAATAACAGAAAAAGAATCACATCTTAAATTTCACTAGTTCTTTACTCTTGTTTGTCTTTTGAGGAGTAAGAGGTACACTTTCATTTGTATAGTTTAGGCATTGTGATCCTTTTTTATTTTTTCTTAAAGTGTTTTATTTCTTATTGGCCTTGAATTTATAATCCTATTGCCTCAGCCTACCTAGTTTCAAGGATTTCCAGAGTACTCTTGATCGTTTGATACAAGGGTCTTTTCCCTTTCCTCTTTCTCAAATATACAGTTTATACATGTAAATTACACCGGAAGACAGTGGTGTTACAAATCAAGAGGCTTGGCTAAGAGACTGTGGTTTAACAAGATAACTAACAAAATGTAACTTTTTAAAATTTACTTAGTTCTCAAGGATGTCCTCCCGCTTAAATAATTATGTAGCAATTACTAAGCACTAGTTTTTAGCTCTGTAATAGAGATCAAGACATTATTAACAGTCTTTAGCCATATGTATCCTTACATATTTTAGTGAGTGAGAAGGCTGGCCACATATATATTAAATGTATCTCAAAGAATGAATGAGTAGGTACACATCTCTTATGGGACTGCTTTCTACAATAGAAAAATCTATGTTCAGCATATAACAAATAGGTCATGGTATACCACTTAGTTTGCTACTGTAACTTAGTTTTATAGCTTCATTCCTAGCCTAAAGGAACACATAGGCAGGTGGTTTTTATTCTTCCAGAACTAATATAGGATACATTTGCTTCTTAGTAGCTGTAAGGTGTCGGCTCACTTTACTACTGCATTTCCTCATTTATAATGAATTAAAGTATTTGGTTTGACCTTTGTTTTGTTTTGAGCATGAGAATGTGTGGGTGCAGCATTATGAAAATGCATTTTTCTTTCCTCTTGAACTTTTCTGTTATCTTGTAGTAGCTTACTTACAAGGACCAGGTCATACAAACAGTACAGAGATGAACATAAGGAAAGTGGCTGCTATAAGCTATAACCCTAATAGCTTCCTTGCTTGGGTACCAATAGAGCTAAATAAGGGCAGTTTAGTGTGGAAACAGACGTGTAAATGACTTTAATCAACATTATATTTTGTTGCATTTTATATAGTTTATCCTCAATCACTGTAAAACAGCTAATCAGACCTGCAGTGTCTTTAAGGCATTGTTTTTATGTAATTATAAAGTGTTATCCTTGCCAGGCAGTGGTGGTGCACACCTTTAGTCCCAGCACTTGGGAGGCAGAGGCAGGCAGATAGATCTCTGTGAGTTTGAGATCAGCCTGGTCTACAAGAGCTAGTTCCAGGACAGCCTCCAAAAGCCACAGAGAAACCCTGTCTCGACCCCCCCCCCCCAAAAAAAATGTTATCCTAGCACAGAGATGGAAATGATTGGGAAAAGTATTAAGAATGGGGCCATTCTTAACTCCATTTATTCCTGTAACCAGGGAAGAGGACTGGAAAGGGTAAGTGATCTGCTTGAGAAGGCAAAATTAGCAGTGAATTTTCAGGATTTTAAACTAAGCTTGACTTCAGGATTTAAACTAAGCTATATGTAGTCACTTCTGTACTGTACAGTTGGGATTAATGATTTATAGGTCAAGTATTGTGGGAATGTGGAGTAATCAAATAGGTAGCATTGTGAGGTGTTTAAAGGGTTGATTCTTCAGCTGGCTTTAGATTTTTAAGATTTTCATAAGGTTTTAAAATTTAAATGGTTGTGGTTTACTTGTCTTCTCAGTAGTCCCTTTGTTTATCCTTATCTCCAAATAACAGTGACCTTTATTTGCCTTAACTGCTAAAACTGCCCATTGTTTCCCAAATCTGAGATGTTTGAAATGCTCATCTTTTCATCTTTTTCATCTTTAGGCTAGGTGAAGTGTAGAGCTAAAGGCAAGATGTGAGTTCAAGATCTTGGGTACCACTAAAGTCTGGGTTTGTTGGTTTACTGTTCAGTTTTGAGTATTTCCTAAGTCACCAAGTCTAAATCAGTTTCTACTTTAAGTGTGTCACGGAAAACTTACGACCGATTAATGAAAATAAGTGAAACCCAGTATAAACTTAAGGGAATGAAGGTATTTATGAGTCAAGCCATATCTACCATAATGTGATATGTCATGGGTAGTGAGGTGTCACTTACAATTTCCATTCTGTAATAACGACCTTGCATTTAAAGACTATTTACAACATCAAATTTTAGGGGAAATTGATTTGCCTATTGGAAGAATTTCTCAATCACAAAAGGAAGCACTTGGTAGCAATGGTGGGTGATATTGTTTCCTGTATACCAGGAGGCGTCATTAAAAGTATTTTCATAAGTTGAACACTAACCCCACATAAAGGCTTAGAAATCAGTTCCTTTATTTGATAAGTGGAGAAAGTAGGGCCTGGAGATGAAATTCTAGCCTGGGGGCTAGAATTTGAAAGTAAGCAGCTTGCCTCATGACTATACTCTGAACTATAATCTATCTTGTTCTGTATTACTTGTGTGGTATGGTTGTACTCTTTTAGAACTAAATTTTGTTAGTCAACAGTAGGCTAGCTGTTTTTTTTTAAACCTTGGATAGAATGTTATCCTTTCTAAAAGATGATGTTAAATATTGAAAGATATGTGTTTGTGCAGAAGCAACATTTTATAACGGCTTCATTTCCTCCCCTACCCACTTACCACCTCAGATGTTATACTTTACCAAAATAAGTTTAAAATTAATCATATTGTATATGCCTTCTAAAAGTTTAATCAGAAACCTTAGATGGCCCTGGAAATGGTGTAATTACTTAATTCTAATTACCTAATGTGATAGGATTGAGTAGCAGTGCAGTGTGTTGTATTCTCCCTCTCTCTGTGTCTGTCTGTCTGTCTGTCTCTCTCTCTCTCTCCTCGTTTTTTTCAAGACAGGGTTTCTCCGTGTAACAACAGCTCTGGCTGTCCTGGAACTAGCTCTGTAGACCAGGCTGGCTTCGAACTCATGGAGATCCACCTGCTTCTGCCTCCCAAGTGCAGGGACTAAAGGTGTGCACCATCACCGCCTGGCCAGTGTGTTGTTTCTATTGCTTCCTTTTCGGAAACCCTTTGGCTAGTATAACTTAGTTTCTTATACTCAAAAGTCTGGATTTTATTAGCCTTTGAAGAGTGATAGTGAATATATTATTCTGTGTAATAAGAGTATTGATACAACAGTTGAACCTTTATTATTCCCTTTAAGAGTCTACTTCAGCTTATATGAACCCTATGGGCATCTAATTAAAAAATACTAGCTTAAGTCAATCGTGGAAAACTAATTCTAGTCATTGATGTTTGGTAAAGCTCCCATATTTTATCAGCCTCCTAATACCACTTAAATACTGTTAGTAGCAACCAAACTAGAAAGGTCTGCTAGTAACCAGCCAAAAGAATATTATTGAGTTAGGGCTGGAGAGATGGCTCAGAGGTTAAGAGCACTGACTGCTCACTCTTCTAAAGGTCCTGAGTTCAATTCTCAGCAACTGCATGGTGGCTCACAACCATAAATAATGAGATCTGGTGTCCTCGTCTGGCCTACAGGCATACATGCAGGCAGAACGTTTCATACATAATAAATAATCTTTTAATATAATAAATAATCTTTTAAAAATATTACCGAGTTAATACAGGGTGAGTCTAGGTTTATGTAGATATGTGCAATGGTAATATAACAGAAAGAAAAAGACACTAAAAATTGAATTAATTCCACTTAGATATAATAAGTCCACCTAGATTTTGAAACAAATTTGTCTGGACAGATGGAACACAATATTTGTTTTTAAAGGGATTCAGAGTGCTGATTGGTGGTGGTGCATGTCTTTAATCCCAGAACTTGGGAGGCAGAGGCAGGCAGGTCTCTGTGAGTTCGAGACCAGCATGGTCTACAAGAGCTAGTTCCAGGATACAGGCTCCATAGCCTCATAGGGAAAGAAACAAAAAGGGGTGGGGGTGGGGGTTCAGTGACCTGTAACATAGACATGTAATGTAAGGCTGTAGTGGCCAAGGCAGAAACATCATTCAAGGCCAGTCTTGGTATGTATTGCAGCAGTATCTCATGAACAACAAAAAGCTGATTTGATGATGTAACTCCAAAATCAAGAGTGTAAAACATTCTGTGTTTAGCTGTTTGTGTTGGTTTTGATGTATAAAGATGAGAATTTATCTTAGGTTCTTTTGTTATATGTAATACTTTGCTTTGGGCATGTTAATTAAATGAAGAATTAATTAGGACAATTCAGAGACTGGTTGAAACAAAGTACTTCTAAGCTATAATTTGGGTTGCAAATGTCCAGCATTTAGCTTTTGTTGAATTTGAGTTGGTGTTAAGGGCACGTGTTCTGAGGTCACATGCATGTTTGAGTCTTTGCTTATATTAATGTGATTGTGAACAACATGACTTCACTGAGTCTGTTTCCTCATGTATTCACAAAAAACAATTGCTGTACACCAGGAACTGTTTTAGAAGGTAAGGGTTTATCATTGAACACCTGGGATAAAAGTTTGTCTTCCTGTAGCTTGGATTCTAATTGTGAAAGAGAGTAGGAGACAGTAAATTGAGTTATATTTCAGCCCCAATTAAATGGAATAATGTAGATGACTTGTTTACATAGAAATAAACACTGTTCGGGTATAATTCCTTTAAACCATTGATAGTAATGTTTAAGCTGCAATAGCTACTGTTTACTGTGAGAAAGGAGGAGGAGGAATAGTGGTGACTCATCCATATTTGCTTTCCTTTCTAGCAACCACCAAAAAAGACATCTAAAAAAGAAAAAGCAAAACAGAAAGCTGCTGCTAAAAGTAAAAAGTCTGTAAAAAGTGCTAATGTGAAGAAGGCGGATAGCAGCACCACCAAGAAGAATCAAAACAGTTCCAAAAAAGGTATATTAGAAATGATGACAGCAACTGTCAGGGTACACCATATGCATGTACATATTTAAGTGTGTATGGAAAACAGGAAACTGCAAAGTACATTGGGGAGAAGTAGCATGCCTGTTTTCAAAGCTAAAGTTTTCAGTGCATTCTTTGTATGTAATTTTAAGGTAAATTTTTTTATTTTAAAATTAAAACTTAAGTGATTTATAACCAGGAAGGACGTGTTCTCTTGAAAACTTAAAAACTCTTCCCCTTCTTGTCTTACACCTTAGTATGCAAAAAAATTATTCACACTTAGTATCTTAACTTTTAGAGTCTGAATCTGAAGATAGTTCTGATGATGAACCATTAATTAAAAAATTGAAAAAACCACCTACAGATGAAGAGTTAAAGGAAACAGTGAAGAAATTACTGGCTAATGCTAACTTGGAAGAAGTCACAATGAAGCAGATTTGCAAAGAGGTAATCAGGGGCATGGGTTCTAGTTAGTCCCCACTGACTTGGGAATTTTTACCTATTTAACTTGAAACTGTTAGGATATCTTTTTGTATATTCATTCAGAGAGTATTGATTGAACTATTTTAGGCCCTTTTTGTGGGTACTGGATACTGTAGTTATTCTAAAACAAACATCACTGACTTGAATATTTCTATTAATAGAGAGTCAATAAAATAATATGCTTCACAACAGACTTTTCCTGGTGTGGAAACTTAGTGATGCATTGTTAGCTTGTATTAGTTTAAAGAGAATCTTAGGAGTCACCTTACTCTTAGTGTGCAGACAGCTGTTATAGATTATGTTTTTAACTTAAACTTCTCTGGAATTCTTTCAGTACATCTCAGGAAATAGTCTTGAATGAGTCATTATCCATATTGTAGATAATAGTTGAAGAATTAAAAATCTAGCTCTTTTTTTTTTGTTTTTTGGTTTTTCAAGACAGGGTTTCTCTGTATTGCTTTGGAGCCTGTCCTGGAACTTGTCCTGTAGACCAAGCTGGCCTCGAACTCAGAGATTTGGCTGCGTCTGCCTCCCAAGTGCTAGGATTAAAGGCATGCGCCACCAACACCGACTAAAAATCTAGTTTCTTATGACTAAGTGAAGTTTAATTTTAAATACCCAATGGTAAAATAGTCTATGCTTTTTTAAAAAAATTTTTTAAAGGATTTTTTTTATTTATTATGTATACAACATTCTGCTTCCATATATATCTGCATACCAGAAGAGGGCACCAGATCTCATAACAGATGGTTGTGAGCCACCATGTGGTTGCTGGGCATTGAACTCAGGACCTCTAGAAGAGCAGTCGGCGCTCTTAACCTCTGAGCCATCTTTCCAGACCCCCTAGTCTAAGCTTTTATTGAATTATTTTTTAATTTACTAAACCTTCCATGGAACCTATACTAAATGCCAAGCTAGGACTGGGTGTTAAGAGAAGCCATCGCTTGTCCTTAAATATATGTCTGCAGTTCAGTAAGGTAGAGGAAGATAGATTGCAACAGAGGGCTGGGTGCAAACTGTTAGAACACTTTGGGAGGAACACAGCACCACAAAACAAACATTCCTACCTGGGAGTGGGGGCTAGGGCTTGAAAGAGTATAGAAAAATATCTAGAATTATTCACTGAGTCCCAAAATAGAACATCACCTTTTTCTCTACAGCAGTGGTTAACCTTTCTAATGCTTCGACCCTTTATTTAATATACTTCCTCATGTTGTGACCCCAGCCATAAAATTATTTTTGTTGCTACTTCATAACTATAATTTTGTTACTGCTATGAATCGTAATGTAAATGCCTGTTTTCTGATGTTCTTAGGTGACTCCTCTGAAAGGGTCATTCCACTCCTAGGTTAAGAGCCACTGCTTTGCCAGGCGTTGGTGGCACACGCCTTTAATCCCAGCACTCGGGAGGCAGAAACAGGCGGATCTCTGTGAGTTCGAGGCCAGCCTGGTCTCCAGAGCGAGTGCCAGGATAGGCTCCAAAGCTACACAGAGAAACCCTTTCTCGAAAAACCAAAAAAAAAAAAAACTGCTTTATAGTAAAAAAACAATGACATAGTCGCTGAAATAAACAGCAATTTGTCTCAAAACTAGAATTGCAAGTTAGTCTTTATTGACATAAGGAGAGAACTACTAGAGTTTTCAAAATCTGTAGATGCCTTGGAACTAACTTCAGTGTTCTTGAAACCAAGGGAATTGAGACTCTGGGTAGAAGATTGAGATAAGTTAAAGGGATATAGCATAATAGTTGCTTTTGTTTGTTGGTTTTGAGACAGGTTCTCTCTATATAAACCAGGCTGGCCTCAAATTCAGAAATCTACCTGCCTTCTAAGTGCTGGGATTTAAAGTGTATACTACTCCAGGTTCAGTATGTTTTTTTTTTTTTTTTTTTTTTTTTTTTTTTGGGAGACAGGGTTTCTATGTGTAGCTTTGGAGCCTGTCCCAGTGCTTGCTCTGTAGACCAGCTGGCCAAGATCTCACAGAGATTCACTACCGAGTGCTGGGATTAAAGGCTAAGTTATTCCTACAAACAGCAAAATTTGTGATCTGACAAAAAGATGGTAGAGGCACAAAATCCAGGTTATGTAGTAAAGCAACAGGTCTGAGACTGGAGATTGCCTTCACCTGTCAGAAACCAGAGCCTCATCAAAGCTTCTTCAATGTGGATGCTACCAATCACAGGCAGCAGTAATCATACTTGAGACTAGAACAGAATTTAAAAGATGTTTTATTTAGATACTTTGAGGTGGAGTTCTTGGAACACGCAAATAAACACTGGTTCTCCACTTTAGGAGATACTTAAAAGACTTGTAAACATTGGAGGGCTTTTCATCAGACACAGAATTAGAATCAAAGAATAGTTTTGCTTATTAGAATGAAGGGAGCACTCTAGAGATTGACAGTTTTCATTGGTTCTAAAGAATGCAGAAAAACAAGTACTACTTGTGTTTTAAGTTGTAACAGCTTCTTTAAAGGACTTCTTTAGAGTGTATTGAAATTTAGATTGCATATACCCTTTAACCTAGCAATGCCATTTCAAGGTCTCTTCTTTAAGGCATAGTTGTATGATGCCGATAATGTTCATTCAATTTGTGTATAAATAGTGAAAAATCAGAAGCTGTGTAAATGACCATTAGTAAGGAAATAGATATATTACTAAATATATTAAGGGTTGTAGTTTTACAGCAGAACAAGGGATAGTTACAATGGCATAAATAGGAAAATATAAAGACATGGGCTAACTCATCCCTATCACATTTTGTCAATAAACTTACAATGCAGCTACACCTATTCGTATTAGTAGTATCCCTACTTATATGAATCCATCTATTTCATATATCTGCATAGTTGTGAAGATGGAACAGACTAGCAAAGCTCCAAACATTTTGTTGCTTGTCCATTTATAGCAAAAGTTACAGGCCCTACTAAATGAGGGTAAGAGTTCAGACTGGAAATTAATCAATAGATTTGAGACTAAGAAAGTTGGGGGCAGGTTCCTTTAAATTCTAGGAGCGAAGCACTCATGAGACCATTTGGATTTTCATGAATTAAGAGGATTGAGTATAGGGTAGAGGTTGAAGTTCAAACTGCAGAATCCCAAGGAGAATATTGGGTGTTTTGGAGACTAGGCCCTCTAAAAGCCACTCCGCAGATAGCCTGCCAATATTCCCTACCTGTATTTTTTATAAAATACTACTTTGAGGTGGTAAAGCACTGAGGATGTCAGATGACTTAATGCTGTGAATACAGTATTATTAAATTTCATTTGCAGGCACAAGTCTAGTGAACCAGAGAACACTTACGGATTGTGGTGATATCTTGCTTACACAAACAAAGCCTGTCTGAGGGTCAGAGAATGGAGCTTGCCACTAGCTAACCAACCATAGAGGTCTGGAGGTCTTTTCAGACAGGAAATGAGGTAGCTGGGCAGAAACAGGAAATTGCTCTCCTGTCTGCTGAGATGCTAAGGGGGTAAAATGCGCTGTGGTTTGCTCCTTCTCTTTGATCTCTCAGCATTTCCCTCTATAGCTGACTCCGACTTTTTATTATCTAGACCAATTAAGAACTCCATTTATAATGGACTTTTAAATCTGCTTTTAATTTTTTTAGGTATATGAAAATTATCCTGCTTATGATTTAACTGAGCGGAAAGATTTCATTAAAACAACTGTAAAAGAGGTAAATATTTCCTTTTTCCTACTTGATCACTTGGCATAGAAACCAAAAGTTTATCAAATATTGCAATATTTTTGACTATTCATGTAAGTGAAGAATCACACCTGATACCCCAGAGTTGTTAGTAAACATAGATGAGGAAATACATTTACTAAGTTTGAACAGTTTTGATAAAACCTTAGGCTAGATTAAGGTAGGTTCATAGTACATAGGGTAGCTTTATATTCCTGAGGTACTCACTAGCTTGAAGGCACAAGGTCAGCAGTAGCCACTGTTTCATATTTAGCCCACATGATTTCCTAAGGTCAAATTAATATGATACGAGTAAGATTGTATGATGTATACATACTTGATTTTGTGTTGGGTGTGGTAAAGTGCTTTTCTTTTTCATTGCAGCTAATCTCTTAAACTAGAGGACAGATGGCTTGTTCTCAGATTTGAAGATCTGATTTATACCAGCAAAGAGAATGTATTTTCTTTTTTAAGTCTATTGTTGGTAGAACTCGCTGCTGACCCTTTTGAGTGTTACATATATTTGAGCTTGCTGTTTTAAATTGCATTTCCTTGCAGTTTTCAGTCTTGCATGGCAGTAATTGTTCTTTGCTTTCTATAGTTGTACATTTTGGATTTCTTTATTGTAAGGTCAGATTTCTGAACTATTGTTAATTTTAGTGCACTTAATGTTAGCTTAAGATACTTTTAATCAAAGCAAAAACTATAACCAGCATTTATACATGCAGAGACTATTGCAGTATTTAGTATATGAAATATTTTGAATACATCTTCTGTCAGTGTGAAAACTTAGTGGCAGTTCATCATTTTAGAGCACAGCTGTTCAGATAACCGAGTTGGAACTTTTTCTGCATGTGTATATATGTCAAGTTGTCAGCATGACAGAAGTGACAGATGTTATTTTTGTATTTTTAAAAACCAATTTGTTGTATATAATTTTTTTTTATTTCTTTTGTGCAGATCAATTTTTAAACTCATGTAGGTAGGTGTCTTTTACACTTGTAACTAAAGAATGTCAGTGTTCAGCTAGGTGGTATGACAGAGCAGTCAGGTCAGTGGTGGCAACGCTAAAGCACTGTCCAGTTCTGCTTCGCCCTGAAAGTGTCATCAATTTTGTGGTATGTTAACTATGTTAAGTGTCACAGAAATTTTATATTGAGTATAAACCAAAATCAATAAATCAGAGTTCCAAAAAGCTGGGAAAGGGTGAGCACACTTGGCTTATATAATGGTAACTAAACTTGATATAGGAAACTGACTACCTTCATAATTATGATTAAAAGTAATCATGCCAGAAGGTAGTATGTTGACAATATAGGTATCTCTGATTAAAGGTATCAGATTGTAATGCTGGCAATGTATAAGTATTATAGAATCAAGGCTGTTTGATTTTAAATTTTGGTCAATCAAGATTCTAGGTGATAAACATGGACTGCCCCTGAATTTAAATTGTCTTTTGACTATCCTGATAACCTATTTCTGAGTTATAAAAATAAGCTGCTGCTTGACAAAGTGACAATTGATGTACCAACTGAGTGTTTAATTTTTCACATCATAGATCAGATATATTAAATAATGTTGAGCATTAACAGATATTTTCACATATTTGACTTTAGTATATATAGAGTGAAATAGAACAAGTAACTAAATGAGGACTAAAAATTGGCTTTACTTTTAAATAATTTGTTATAAATCTTGACAATAAAGAATAAATTGATGTTTTAAATGTCTTGAATTTAGTCTTTCAATTTATTTGCTTTCGTGTCATTTTCTGGGGTGTGGGAAGATTAGTCCCCTAATCCTATTACTGAAGAACTCCAAGTAATAACTGACCCCTTTTGAAAAGATAGTTTTAGTTTGACTATTGAGGAAATAGGTAGTAAATGCTTATAACGGAAAGTTTAAAAGGATTGGAAACAAAGTTGACAGAGTGATGCTATAACCATTTATTAAAGGTATTTGCAAAAGTTCTTAAGTTAAACAGTTTTACATAACCAGTTATTCATGATATGTAGTTAAATCACTAATTCTGCTCATTAACTTTTTTCTTTTCTTTCTTTCTTTTTTTTTTTTTTTTTTTTGAGACAGGGTTTCTCTGTGAAACAGTCCTAGCTGTCCTGGAACTCACTCTGTAGACCAGGCTTGCCTCGAATTCACAGAGGTCTGTCTGCCTCTGAGTGCTGGGATTAAAGGTGTGTACCACCATTACCCGGCTCTCATTAACAAAAATCTTAAGAGGTTGAAAAACATAGCAACTCAAAAGTACCATAGTTCCCGTAGAACAAAATATGAAATTAAGTTGTCACTTGAAAAAGTGAGAAAAATTAAATACACATTTATACGAGATGGCATAATACAAGCTCAAGTGCCTAGAAACTAAATAACTTAAGACTGAAATTTTAACATTTTGCATTTATCACTTCACACACACTAAACATTTTAATTACTTACACTTTAAAGCAGAATACTTCTCTTATCAGTACCAATGAGTCTCAACAAATAACCTCTAAGCACAGTGAATAATTAACTTTAAATACGTAGTTACTGGCTTGTATCAGACTTTGACAGGGAAGGTGTCTACACTGTCTAGAGCTCACTTCACTGTACATTCTTTATATAAGCTCTTTTGTTAACAAGCTAATTTTGAATTTCAGAAATACCTGATATTTCAAAAAGTGGCTTTAAAGTCCTTTGTAGCTCCCTTTTAAAAGCAGATACGTAATTCAAAGACTTTTTAAAACAAAAGCATATTTCTAATTTGTCAACTGAAGTTTCTTGGCAGAATAGTTGTCCAAAAGACCCTGAAACCCATGTTTACTAAACAATCTTGAAGTGGAAAAGTTTTGCCATGTTCAGACTTTAATATATGGCTTATAAAGTATATGCTATGTACCAAGATAACTAAGCTTTTCTGTAGTTTTCCAGTGGACCTGCCTATGGGAAACTTAATGTAAACTATATAAAATATTAGACATTGAAAATCACTTTAAAAATAGGTGAAGTGGGGTTTTTAGTTATTTTGACAAGATATTTGCCAAATTTCAAGTGTGCTACCCACCGCAAAATGATTTTAGTCTGTTTTATAGTGTGAATACATTCACTCATGGTTAAGGAATTTTCAATCTTGTGCTGCTGATGAGAGCACAGATCTAAAATATCAAAATATACCTGAATCTAAGTTTTGAATACCCAATGAAAAGAAATATATGTAGTATAAAATAGCTTAGAAGCTTCATGTCACACCCTCAAGTTGCTGTATCAAAAAAGAATTGAAAATTTTAAGGAAAGCCCGAAGATCGGAGCTGTTTAAAAATATTAAGGCTCATTGGTAAAGGTACTGATAAATTGTCACAGAAAAACACATGGCTTTCTCTAAGTTTGCTAGTGACTACCGCTGGATTACTTGGTTTCACAATATATGAAAAGTAATCTGCCAACTAGAATGTCCAGTCCAAAGGGAACTCCCAACACAAACCAGGGCCTCAGTGTTAGGGTATACTGTGCCACCTTCTGAAAACCACAGGACTTAGCATTAATTGGGTCTATGGAAAAATAAAGCATAAGTGCCTAGAAGGATTTTGAGGGTCAGTGATTTCAGAAGAATGAAATGTGTTTACATTTTCCTATCACCACAGAAACATTTCAATTTTACTATACAGAGTCCCCTCTCTCTTATAGAACTTAACTTTGTGTTTCAAACTTTTCCATTTGGGACACAGAAGAAAGCTAGGTCCAGACGTTCTTTTTAAAAGGCTGCAATCTTGCTTGCTTCTCGAACACCACTCAAATATGCCCCTGTAACAGTTTGTGGGAAATGCCTGTTTGTTGCCTGTGGGGAGAAAAAAGAAACTGTTTCAGACTGTGCATAAAGAACTGATAACATCAACAGGTGGTACAACCTTATACTTTTACTGGTCTACCTAAAAAAGACAGAGCCTTGAATCTTTGCTTCTTTTGCTAATACTTTACCAGACTTCTCTGGTATCTGATGTCTCTTCCAAGTACTGTGGCATCCATGGAAATACCATCTAGAGACTCAAACCTCATAAGTGGGTATTGAGAAGAACGTGAGAATAACTATCCAGGGAAAGCAAGAAGAGTCTAAAGAAATCTGTCTTAGTCTAAAACTGCAATCTCCAGAAGCAGATGCTGCCTGGAATATGACCATTACCTAACAATTTTTGATCAAACCAGATTTGTGATCTGCAAGTAAACTTGTAATAGAGCTGCCTTTATGATGGGATGAAGGACAGGAAATAACAAAAGGCAAAAACAATTCTACAAAGAATCTTTGGGCAATTTCAGTCTTTGAGGCCTGAGGAAGCTTAGCAGTGCAGGCAGCAGCTGGTTTCCATAGCACTTATGCCACTGTCCTTCCTGTGATTGGTAAAGTACTTCAGACACAAGGATCTACATGTTAAAAAGGTTGATGAAGTGGCACACCCTTGTATCCAACTCTAGGAAGGTGAGTCTCTAGATTACGTTTTCTGCCCACCAAGCATAATCCACTTAGTGAACTCCAGGCCTATGAAACCCCTGTCTCCAAAACAAGGTGTACAGCATCAAAGGAATGGCACATCTCAAGTTGACCTCTGGCACATATTCACCCCTCAAACATGCCCCTCTTCTCACAAAAATATAGGCATTATGTTAAATAAAAGTATCTATCATAATTACCAATGAGCCTTCTAGCATCCAAAATGCCAGAAGCAAAGCTGCTACAAAAAGGAAATGTTCCCAGGTAGTGCTGTGAAGGCTTTTCACATGTGCCTCACAACCAGCAAGGAAAACAGGTAACATTTTTCAAAAGCCTAAATAACCAATGAGACAATTCTCAAGTCAGAATGGGATGACAAAACTGACAAGGAAAACATTCATTTCAAAGTGGAAAGATTTCCAAACACGTCTCCCAAAGTCAAATAAATAAGGTTGGCAATCCAAGAGTTTGAAGGAGGACAGAGGATCTAAGGATAAAGAAAATGGGAGAAAATGATCAGAAGTAAATCGATGAATTGAAAGAATCGTTCTTTAATTACAGGAACTAGAGAGGGTTAAGAGTCCACTCAGCAGAAGACTGTACTATAATCTTGTCAGTCAACAGTGCAGACTCCAGGGTTTCAGATAAGCCAGCTAGGAGGAAGATCTGAGTGAACTGTGAACTGCAGATAACTGAAGGGGAAGGGAGACAGGCACCAAAACAGCTACCAAGAAAGCAGAAACCTGTTTAATAATGAAACCCATGAACACCTTGGCTCAGCAGTAAACATATTGCAAATGACAGTTAAAAACACGTTATCAACCAAGTGTGTTGGCTCACACTTGGACTCTCAGCAGGGTGTGGAGCAGGAGGATTGTTGCATGGACTACAGAGTTGAGACTGGAGGATGAATACCAACTAAGTAAAATAGCTGCATTCAAAGAATGGTGCCTAGAGACTAAATAATCTGTATTTTTAATATAACAAAGCAAACTAGAGTCTAATACTCAAACCATACAATGTCAATATAGATACTTTAAGATAGATAAGTCTCAAGAATAATCAGGCTTGCAGAAATATAAGGCAAGCTTTCAGAATAGAGAGGGTTTCTACCATGAGCAGTCACTAAGACTTTCAAACATACTTGACTTGGGTTTTAAGACTGAGCCATTTTAAATGAAAATAAGGATTGAGTTTGATGTCAAGATATGTACCTCACCAGCAAAAAAGATAGTTCTTTGTATTTCTTCAGCAATGATGTCATAGGCCTCACCACTTCCAAATGTTTTGACGAAACTATATGCCATCTGGATCCATGGCTCTGTGCTCCACCGTGTGACAAAATACTTGGTGGGATCTGGGATTTCCTTATATGCAAACAAAAAAATTTTTTTTTTTAAAGGATAAAAAAGGAAGTTGGATACACCACAACCCAATTGGAAATAAACTGTTCCCCCTTTAGGCCTGAGTGTACTGAGGTCGCCTCCTAAGCAGTATGTCCCACCTTCCCATGACCTCTCCCTTCCCCAGCCAAACCCAATCCCTTTACTTCTATGCTTCACCTGCCAAAGATACTCCTGTACAAGAAATCGCTACAGTGACTGTACACTAAACTTAATTTTGTCCACTGGCCTCTGACATGAGAAACACTTCCCTATAAACTACAGTTCCGGATAATTGAAAACCCAAGCTGAGAATGACTGTGTGTCAGAATTATATGACTAGTTAAATCTTTTTTTTTTGGGGGGGGGGTTTCGAGACAGGATTTCTCAGTGGCTTTGGAGGCTGTCCTGGAGCTAGCTCTTGTAGACCAGGCTGGTCTCAAACTCACAGAGATCCACCTGCCTCTGCCTCCTGAGTGCTGGGATTAAAGGCGTGCACCACCAACGCCCGGCGACTAGTTAAATCTTTCACAAAGGATTGGCAATAGCTGAATGCACCTCAAATTTAAATTTTGAGTCATTTCACTACTATTTCTACTCTTAATCAGAAGACAGGTCATGGCTACTTCCAGATCTTCAAAGAATAGAAGAAGGTACCCTAAGCTCCTTGTAGAAGAGACTTTAGGTGGTGCAATAGAACATTTTAGAAAACATCCCTTTTTAAAAGGAATGTTGTATACTGCCCAGTGAGATAGCTCAGTGGGTACAGGCACTTCTGCTAAAGCCTGATAACCTAAATGATCTCCAGAACTTATACAGTAGAAGGAAGTTATCCTCTGATCTATACATATGTGTAATGGCATGTAC